CCCTTCCTACTGACCTGCTCATACCTTGTGCTGCATTTCTTGTTTCAATAATGTGTTAAGCAATGTCTCCAAGCCTAAAGATGGTTCCTCCTGACACTGGTTTCCTAATTATCACCAAGCCTTGGGGAAGTGGATGGTGTGGCCTCACATACGCGTGGGAGTAGCACACCTTCCATGCAAAAAGCCGAATATCTTCATTGGTACCACGGAGGTGCTGCATAAGGGAAAGATCAGTTAAGCCTGAGGCAGAAGAGGCTGCTGTTTTCCTGAACAGACACTGTGGTGATCCTCACTGGCTGTCTCCTACAGGACGGACTTGGCTGGAAAGAGCTCTGCCAGAGCCTGAAGCCCAAGGTAAACCCTCCAGGGTCTCTCCCCATGGGAAAGCCCTTTCTTGTCAAGGGCGCCTGCCAACGGCCCCCTTGGGATGTCTGCAAAGTTTTCTGTTTGGTGGTTAGGAAGAGGTCTGGCGTACTTAGCTGTGAGGATGACTCCTCCTTGGGGTGTGACTGTTACTCTGCTGCCCTGATGCAACTTAGAAACAATAGTACCGCTATTCCTTTGGGAAAACATAGACACACACACACACACACACACACACACACACACACACACACACACAGACACATACACGCATGCGCACATGCGCACACAGAACCCTGACGTAGACTGAGTTCCAGTGGCTGCAGCGAGTTTGGCTGCCTGCGGCTCTGACAACGAGGATGGTCTGGACATTCTTAAAGTGAGGGGAGGGTGCGGTGAGTGAGTTTCTAGCTAAGCTCAGAGGGGCAGTATAATGCAGGGACACGTAGAGCTGGATCAATAGGTTCTTATCCCCAGTTCCTTAGACTGCTGACTGCTGGCCCTCGGAAAGTTACTTAGCCACTCTGACCCTCAACTTCCTCACCTCTAAAATGGGAAGGCTCATAACCATAGCACCCGTTAACAGATTTAGTTAGCAGTAAATCTTTTAGAACAAATTCTGCTACGTATGAGGAGGTGGATGGGTGAACTTCACTGGTAAACACCGAGGGAATCCATGTTTCTCTGATTGTTATTATTATTACCACGTTATTATTATTTTGTGGTACTGGGGATTGAACCTAGGGCTTTTGCAGTGAGCTAAATTCCCACCTCTCACTCCCTTTTTAAAAGGCTTGCTGAGATTCTCAGCCTGCTCTCAAACTTGTAATCTCCCTGTCTCAGCCTACTTAGTGCTGAAAGTACAGATTTACATCTGGAGCTCTGACTTATTTTTAACAGTAAATTAGCAAATTTTTTTTGGTACCAGGAATCGAACTCAGAACCTTGCACTTACCAGGTGTATGCTGTACCACTGAGCTATATCATGGTGCTGCTAAACTGGCCAAATGTTGTACAACATAATTTGTTACCTGAATTTTGAAAATCCTCCCTATTCTAAAAGGATCACACTAAATGATGAAGTTAGGTTTTTTCCCTCCACAGCTGCCCTAGTTTCTCAGTGTGAGAGGGTCCCGTGTTGGCAGACGTATTTCCCAGTATCATCCATAAAGCACGACTACATCAGGCTGCACCCAACATTTACTTGGGAAACGTGTGCTGGCTGAGTGTCAGTCATATGGCGGGCGCTGAGCTCAGTACTGCAGTGGCAGTGATGTACAGTGAGGTGTTGACAAGTGTTCTGGAAATTAAGGCTCAGAGCAATTAAGGGGTGGAAGAAGGGTGCCCGGTTCATGTTAGGTAAACAAAGAACACAGCTGCCCTCATGCTGGGGTTCCCAGTGGGACCTCCTGGAGTAACTCCAAAGGAGAACCAAGTCCAGTTGTTTGAGCTAGGTCTTTTATGGATCTCATGGGGGGAGTTCGTGTGATGGACTTAGGTGGGGAGGGTGAAGGGGGGGTGTGAGGTTGGGGGAGGGAGAACGACTGTGTACGTGGCTATAGCAAAGGGCGCTGTGACCTAGCAGGGGGGGTGGGTGTGTTGTGTCTCAGCATTGTTCCGGGCTCAGGCGGGGGCCTGCAGGGTATAAGAATGGGCTGTGATGATTCTCAGAACTCAGGAACTCAGTGGCTGAGGAGGGTCAGACCCATCAGTTCAGACTTGGCCAGGACCACAGAAGCCACCCTGAAAGTGTGACATGGGGACTGAGGTTCAGTCTGGTGGGAGAACAGCAAAGACCTGGTGAAGCTCCAGGGGCAGTGTGCTTCAGGAAGAAGTGAGTGGCTCTGAGCATGAAAAAACGGAGTTCAGGATTGGATGAATTATATCATCCTTCCCTCATGGCCTGTTTGTGGAGAGTCACTTTGATCTCTGGACAGACTTGGACCATCTTCTTATCCTGAACTCTATTAGTAGCTTGGGTAAAAGGGAAACAACCAGGCCTTTGGTTTTCATTTCCAGGTCAGCTATAAATAACCCCAAATGGCTTCCCAAGAGGTTCACAGTGGAAATGTGGGGACAGCTGCCCCAGGTGGCAGCCCTGGCAGCCCGGCAAGACCAGAGAGGATTAACAGTTCTGTTTACCAGCCCGGGATGGATCACAGCATCATCAGATGGGAGTAATACAGGCTCTTGGGGTAAGTCACTCTTAGGTAACAAAATTGGTTTAACAGGAAACATAAATAGTGTGCAGAAAACCTTGTGCGTGCCCAGAAAGAGGAAGTTCTGAGTGATTCACTAAGCCAGGGATGAAAAAAAGGCTGGGGGGACTGAGAGAGGGACAGGCTTTCTATCATGGGAGAAACGTCACCAGCTACTGGGTGCTTGGCCGACATGCAGGTGGAACTCGTACGTGTGCAAGTTTGAAGTCTAAAATAAATGCTCATTATAGCAGAGAAACGCAGACACAGACAGCAGGGCTGGCCGCCCAGCGGACAGAGCAGCACTGCCAGACAGACGCATCTCTCCTCACCGTGACCCTCCCAGGCCTCCTACATTCTGCTTCCTTATTCAGGAAGTGCCGGGCTTGTTCCTTTGATGAATCATTCGTATTTCTTTTAAAGTGATTCTGGTGGCAGACACCTTGGGTAACTGTTTGTTTTCTCTCCCCTTTCATCACCCCAAAGTGCAGCTGCCGCTTGCGTCCTGTCAGGTGCTCACCTCCCAGTCCTGTTTGCCCACGGATTCCAGACTCAGACCCCTTCCATTCCAATCCAGAGTTTGTTATCTGCTTGGCCCGAGCACCAGACTTACCCTACTTTGAAGTCCTATTTGCTCCCTGCCTTCAAAATAGTCTATCAGACCTTGTGGAATAGATCCCAAAGCCCCTCCTTCTTCCTAGATGCCTCTGAACCACCCATTTAGGGAGGCTGAGGTCTCTGAAGCTCATATGCTATATTTTAAATTCAGAAATTTGGCCTAGGGAAAGGCTGACTATCCGTGTGCCTTCACTGTCTTATGGTCCCCAAATGTGCTGGGGAGATATCTGAACTTTTCATGACAAACTCATTTTCTTTACACTTTTCCTGTCTCCTGTTGCAGTCAGGGTTTACAAGGGAATAGGTTTAATACAGGACATATAATTTCTAGGATTATTTTGTAATCTTCACCCAAAGAGTCAAGTGCAAAAGAGTGTGGGAGATCTGTGCATACGCTAAAGACCCAAAGAATCCAGCTGAGGGCCTGGATCCACGGCAATGACCTGCATGAGTCCAGCTGGAGGCCTAGAGCCCAGAACGTCTGATGCAAGTCTGTGTCAAGGATCTGCAGTGGGAAGGCCCAAAGGTCAGTGGAAGCTAGGAAGTCTGCACCAGGGGGATGAAGGATCTGTGCCAGCAGCTGAGGGATATGCCCTGGAGCCAGGAAGTGACGCTCAAGGTAAGGACAGAGTCTCCTGAAGAGAACCGCAGCCATCCTCAGTGGCAAGAGGTCCTGAGCTCCTCTGATGATGAGAGCAGCTGAGTTCATATCAAGAAAGCCAGCATGATAAGCTTCTCCAGGAGAATCAGCAGCACCATCTTCCCCTCTGGTTCTTCTTTTATGCTGTTGGCAACAATCCTCAGGTGGGTCTTTCCACTGCAGATCCTTGACACAGACTCGCATCAGACGTTGTGGGCTCTAGGCCTCCAGCTGGACTCACGCAGGACATTGCCATGAGCTCTGGGTCTTCCGCAGGACTTGTGTAAAGATATTGCCGTGGGATCCAGGCCCTCAGCTGGATTCTTTGGGTCTCTAATGTGTGTGAACAGATCTCTTGCACTTTTCTGCATTGGACTTTTTGGATGAATATTATAAAATAATCCTATAAATTATGTGTCCCATATTAAATGTATTTCCTTGCAAACCCTGACTATAACACTTCCTTTCCGAAGGGTCTGCAGGAATTAATAGAAATGGGAGGAGTATGGTCTCTAGTTGTGACCATTTACCTATAAAAGCCTCGAGTTTATCTTTCTTTACAGCTGAGTAATATTCCATTATAATAAAAGGACCACAATTTTCTTATCCAATCCTCGGTGGATGGACATTTGGGTTGCTTCCACAGTTTAGCAATTACAAATTGTGCTGCTATGAACATAGGTGCACATATATCACTGTGATATGACGTTTTTACATCTTCTGGGAAAATACCCAGAAGGGGGATATCTGTTTTCATGAGAAACCACTTTGAAGATATCAATATGTAATACAACAAGCATTGTTAATTTCCTACCACTTTGTTTGTAACTCTGTATTGTCTGTACTGTTCTTTTTCTATTTTGTAAAAGGCTGTCTGTCTGTTAATGTTTTCCTCCTTTTATTTTTAAAATTAAAAAAAAAAAAAGAAATGGGAGGAGAGATAACAAGGAAGAGGCACTGCCGGAAGGGGTGGGATAAGTGTGCAGCAAAGCCACCTCTGAGAAGCTCTCGCCCAGTTAGTTTTAGCTGACATTTTAGCCATGGTAAGCAGTGATGCTCTGTGTTTTTTTTTTTTTTTTGGTACTGGGAATCGAACTCAGGACCTTATGTTTGCAAGGCAGGCACTGTGCCACTGAGCTATCTCTCCAGCCCGATGCTCTGTATTTTTCTCCTTCTCACAGGCCACCCAGGTCATGACTGTAGCAGTGATCCTGGCTCTGGGTGTTTTCCTAGGTTCCCTGGGGTACTTGTCCCATCTCTTCAGCCACGACTTTTTCTTCACCTTTTACGCCGGCTACCCCTTCCGGGGCTCTGTGTTTGTGAGTATTCCCAGTCCCCTCACCGTAGATGGTTCCTCAGATCCCACTGCTAGAAATATGCTGCTTGTGACAGTGTTGTTGGTGGAAGTGGACAGGGACATGTTGTTGTTTTGATTTATATTTTTTTTTGACACAAGCAAGAAAAAAACTTTTTCTGATTGAAAGAAGTCATATTTGCTAATGAACATTAAGTCCTACATATTCATTTAACGGCTATATCTTAAATTTGGTATGCTAAAATATTGAATGGAAAATGAGTGTTATTGAACTGCCTTGTGGTGCAGCTCAGCATCCTGCCTTGGAGAGGAGATGTTCATACATCTGTCTTCTGTGTGTGTATTGTCTGAACATCGGAAGACTCACTCTCCTTATCTTGGTCAAAATGTAACCAGGGGAAGTAGGATTTGGAGCAAGGTGATCTTTAAAACTTATTCACTCAGCTGTGTCATTTACCCCTTGTCTGATGATTCAATTTTTAAAGTTGGCAATAGAAATTATTTTTAATCAGCCATTACTTTCGATATTATTTGTTGTTTTTTCTGATGCTAGACCTTTGAGCTATGAACTGAACACTGAAAACAAAGATGCTACCCTAGATGTAAGATGGGAATATTTATTTGAAAATAGTGACTGGCAAATGAGCAACAAAACATTTATCGTAAGCCTTGGGCTTTCATTTATTTATATATTTTTTTCCCAAAATCTCTGATCTTCAGCTCTCCTTTAAAAGGAAACTCCTTTAATTTGGCTAAAATTTCTTGACCCAAACCAGATATCATAGCTTGACATAAAATCATATACTGTACTTCAGGTACAATCTGAAATTTGTATTCAACATTTCTGAAATTTTTAAGCAATATGATCATTTTATGGAAGAGTGAAGCTCTAGTTGTTTGAAAGAAGGTCTAAGATATACCTTGGCTCTGTGTAATAAATCCTGACAATTTCTCCTGAATGGAGAATTTTCACCCATGTCTTTGAAAGGAGCGGGAGGAAGCATTCCAGTTGTTCTGTAGGGACAGAATCCATTGCTCAGAAAGTGACATCTGTTTGTCCAAAGAAAGAGCCATGGTCAGAAGGCCAGAGTTTTGCTCAATTTAGCATCATGAGCACCAAGACTCAAATCTGACGGCTGATTCCTAGGGTAGAAGCTTCTTCCTGCCTCTGAGGTCCACGCCACCCTCAGGTCCTGTGAGACTGCCACAGCCTCACCCCTGCCTCCCTTGCCACACAGCGGGCAGGGCTGGTGTGAGCCAGTCCTTGCTGTTCACTTGTCTCTCTCCTACATACCCTTACTAATGGTACCGTGAGATCTGCAAAAATACGTGAGCCTTCCCCTTCGGTCTCCTTGTCCGCTGACAAGCAGAATGAGCATCTTCTCTTTGGTACTCTGAAATTAAATGGGAAAATGCGTGCTATCAATAATTGGAATTCTTTCTGTATGCCTGGTAGATAGCTAAGTGTGTTTTAGGCATTATTTCATTTTAGACCCACTGTCAGGTAGGTAATATGAACAAGGGGATATCTGCGTCTCCATTACACAGACAAAGAAGCAGGCAAGAGGGTGCTTACTGGTTGGTCCAAGGTGACGAAGTGACAAAGGCAGGCCTAGAGTTCTGAGTGTGTGCTCTGACACAGGGACCGGGCCTCCCGGGTCACCCTTCTCACCCCCAGAAGCAGAATTCAAAGTCTCCTGCATGCTTGACCAGAGGCCGGAGGAGGGATACCATGTAGCAAGGGTTTTCTTTCACACTGTTAGCGGTCTCTTCAGGAGGGGCTTGGTACGGGGTTGTGAGATTATGACTTAAAAAGCAGAATAAAGGTTCTTAAGAAAATGATAAATATAAAAGATTCAATTTACCAAAATGCAGAGTCATGGAAATAATAGTGTATAAAGTAATAATTTAAAAATCGGAGGGTGCATTGATAGAGACACTTAGATTCGTGAAATATTTTGGAACATCAAGTTCAGTAGCACAAACCCTTACATGAGGCTTGGATGAGAATATGAGAGTTATCTATACTCTTATACATGTGAATAATTATTATGTACTTACATTTAGTATAAGAATAAGCATAGCTATGGTCATATTACTTTAATTGCCTATACTTAACTGACTGTATATATGATTTTTAAGTATTCATACTTATACGAACCTGTTAAAAGCCAGACACACAAAAAATAAAAAGATTATACATTACTTAAAATTTAAGCTACTTTAAAATTTTAGTCATATAAAACAACGAGCAGCCTCGAGGGTAATTTTGTGCTCTGAGGGCTTGAAATAAAGAAGAGGTTTATATAACTATTGCTGGATACCTGCTCACCAAAGGAGGCCCAAGAAGAAAATAGTTGTGACTCAGCATTTCTCATCTACTTCCCATTTCAGATTATTGGCTCAGGCTCCTTGTCTGTTGCTGCAGGGAGAAAACCCACAAAGACCCGGTGAGTAGCAGTTCTTCCCCTTCTTCATGACCAGAGGAATACAGAGAAGTTATCCATGAACAGCAGGAGAGTAGAGGATGGTGAGTCCAGCGAAGACACCGACTCTCATTTATTTCATTTTGAAACTTTTATTTTACCCATGTGTGAAACACAATGTTTCATCCTTGTGTGGAGTTGGCACATGTACATAACTCACCTTAGTTCCTTTTTTTTATCCTTTCCCTCTCCTCCTCCTACCCTCTGTTCTTGATCCACTTCCCATTTGAGAAAGATCTATCTTGCTGTTTCCTATTATCTGTCTCTTATTTTGCTCTTTATTTATACTTTGGGTATCTCATATAAGAAAAACCATGTGATATCTAAGCTTGTGCGTCTGATTTATTTCACTTAACATTACGGTCTCAAGTTGCATCCATTTCCTACAAATATCTCCAGTTTATCCTTCTTTATGGCACAATAGTACTCCATTGTGTGTAAATCCCACATTTTGTCTATTCATTCATCTGTTGATAGACAAAGAGGGTTCTTCAAAGATTCCGCTAGGAGTTGGGCTGCTCTAAATGGGTGTGTATGGATCATTGGAATATCAGGTATTTAATTCTTTCAGGAAGATACCTAGAATGGAAGTAGCTGGGCCAAATGGAATTTCTAGTTTTAGTTTTTTGAGGAATCTCCACACTGATTTCCATAGTGGTTGTCCTGATTTACACTCTCACTAATGCCCATGAAAATCACTTTTCTTTTCTTAAAATGTTCAGCTATTTGGTCATTAGAAAATCAGAGACTGTGAACATGTACACTCTAAACCCTTGATGAATCAGAAGTACAGAAAAGAACCTTTTGATTTTTGTGTGTTTCTGAGTTTAATGAATTCTGATTATACCCAGGGTAGGATCTCCCACCACTGGTTCTGCAACTGAAAGCAGAAAATTTTCTTTAGTCATTCACTGAACAAGTCCTCAGGCCCTATCTTGTGTTCACATGGTGTCCCCCTGAACTTTCCTGTTCCAGCCCCTCCTCATCCTCCAGGGAGCGCCCACCACAGCTGCTCCCCGCGTTTCCCTCCCACCCTGCTTCACTTTGCTTCCAGCTCCCCTCCTTTGGCTGGGGCTCCTTCTTCCATCTGGTTCCTCCCTGGCAATCTCCTTTCTTTGCTTCTTTTCTTCTCTGACCTTCACTGTCAGGGTACCCTGGTGCTCAACTCTTTGCCACCCACTCTTCCCCATTTAAGCCACTCCTGCTGATCGCATGCATTCGCACGGCTTTGCATAGCATCTCTGTGCCAACAGTCCTGAAGTCATATTTCCAGTCATGGTATCGCTCCAGAGCATCCAGTTGGCATGTCTACTTGCTTCCTCTTGGATCTAAAAGGCCCCAAACTCATCACTTAATCTTCCTCCTCAAAGCTTCTCTGTGCACAGTCTTCCCATGTCAGTGGGCAGGTACTCCAGCTTTCCAGATTCTTGGACCCCAAACCCCAGAATATCGCTGGGTCTCCTTTCACAATGCTGAATCCAACTGATCACCAATTTCTGTTGGCTCTACCTTCCTTTTTATTTTTTATTTTTTTGGTACTGGGAATCGAACTCAGGACCTTGTGCTTGTCAGGCAGGCACTTATGCCACTGAGCTATATCTCTGGCCCTGTTGGCTCTACCTTCAAGCTTCTCCACATTAGACTCTCATTTTTCTGCTGATGGCACTCCATCCAACCCGCCGTCATGTCTCCTAACTGGACTTATTACTGACTTCACTGGTATCACTGTTTCCATCTTGGGAACCTCTTTACTATCCCAGCTGAGGCAGAGTGACCTCTATATACTATAAATGTAAGTACCACGCTTTTACTCAAAATCCTCCAGTAGCTTTACACTGTTCTCAGAGTTAGAACCAAATTCCTTTTCAGGACCTACAAGCTTATACATGATGTGGTGCTCTGGTGGTTTTCTGTCATTTCCTAGTCTTGTCTTCTGACCACTTTGTCTCTTGTTTCCTGGGGACACTAAGGGATCAGGGCTCGGAATTGAGTGTTTCCCTGATCACAGGGCCATTCTCCAGTGGGCATCTGGGCAAACAGTCCTTTATTCCTTTCCCCATACATTGTTTCTATTTAATATCCTAAACTTCTGGTTGTTCCTTTGGAATTCCAGGCTCTCTACACCATTTTTTTTTTTACCCAAAGTACTTCTAAAAATACTGTATAATTTACCTGTTAAATGTGGTTTTTGGTTTTTTGTTTTGCTAGACTATAAGCTCCCTGGATGGTAGGAGGTCTTTCTTCATAGATGTTTGCCTTGCTGTAGAATGTTGTATGAATAAACAGCATTTTGGAGATATTTGTTTAAATAAATTGTTGCCAAGGGATAAAGGATGTGCCACATGTATCAATGGAAAATTCTTCTCTCTTAGATGCAAAACAGTTTGAGGATGAACACTGCCAGTGCTACCACTGCAGTAGCTGGGATTGTTTTTCTCTCAGTGCATTTAGCAATTAATAGCCTGTCACTCAAGGACTGTCAGCCTTCGAAGGCACCGGAGTCATGCATTTACCTGGGCACAGCATCAAATATACCTTTTAAAAAACCAAGTTTAATTGTTAATTATTTCAAACAATTTAAAATGTACAGAAAGACAATATATCATGTACCATTCTACTTTGATTTGAACCTGAGGACAAACTCAGTAATGTGTCTGGGTTATAATGGTCTCAACTTTCAAATGAAATCATTAATATATATTGCCTACATGATAGGGTTGTTATAAGAAATAAGTTAATATTTGATAGGCAATGGAAACAGCTCTTATATACCATATTATTATAACTCTTGTTACCATTGTAATACTTCCCAGTGTTTAAATTAAAAAAAAAATTATTACATGAATATTTGTTCAACAAAACAACTGGGGAGAACTTTCCCTGCAGCCTGGAATGTTCAAGGACTAAGTTTTGAATGACTTCCCCTCTCAGTGCAAATAGTATTTCAGAACGGGGGAAGCTCTTTAATAGCCTTCCCACATATTGTATTATTTTGTCTGTGTTTAGTATCTTACCTCTTGTGAGGGCAACTTAGAAGTTAATATTTTCCTTCATGTTTATCCATTTCACCTCATGGTCTACGAATTATTTACTTGTTTGTAAACCCCCTGGTTTTTGCCGTGTTCACGAACACCTGCGTCTGCATGTGTTTTGTTATATTTTGATTTTGTAGGTTTGTTGTTTTAGGTTTCCTTAGCGCATGTTTGCGATAAATGGTTGCACGCATTTGAGGGGCTTGGCACATAGACGCATCACATCCGGGACATCTTTCTTCCCTGATTCTGGCCCACGCTCTTCTCCCTGCCATCCCATGTCCGCTCCCCACCTCCACAGAGGCCGCCTCTCTGTTTTCTACCGTCTCTCTTTTAGTTTTCTTTTACACTATTTATAGTTGGGGTTTCTGAGGGAAGAGAAACCACGTAGTACTTAACCCTCTCTGTCTAACGTACTTCGCTTACCGTTATGCTTTATATTTAGGAGCCTGATGTTTGTGTGGACTCGGTGGCATTTCCCCCCCAGAGAAATTCTGTATTGGTATTTCTTCCAGGGGCATCGCTGATGATAGAAGTTCTACTGGTGCAGCGGCAGCGTTTTTACACTGCGTTCACAGCAGCTTTGTGTTTTAGGTTCTAGGGATGATGGACGTGCCTGAAGCCCTAGGAAGCGCCCTTGAGGAAATGCAGTAGGGGTTACCTTTTCCATTTTCTGAACTCTCCCAAATTTACTACTACTGTTCAGTTAAGAGATTTTAGTGATATTGACAGAATTTTGTTTCTGTGTTTTTCTTTCTATAACTAATTCACATGGGTTAGAATACAAATAACACATCTCTCTTTCCAGGGAAAAATATTTCCATGCTTTTAGGCTGAGATTGCATCCCTTTCTCAGAATTTGTGTGTTCTGTGTTTTAAATCCATTTTATGGTTCATTTTGTTCCACTCTGCTGGAGGGAGAGATTGTGTGCTGGGTTCTTGCTATTTTTTCCCCCCCTCTGGATGTTTCGACTGTTTGATTGAGGCACTGTATTCCTTAGGGCCTCGTGTCTCTCATGCTGATCCTCGCCTTGCTGGAACTGGGCATAAACATTTCTGTTTCAGCCTTGTGGTGCAAAGCAAAGTGCTCTGAGGCAAGAGAGGTGGGTGTACTTGCTAAGTTGTGTGGTCTGCAAACTTCTCTCTAGGGTTTGAAGTTGTTTCTGACTGTCAGAATGAGAAAGAAATTTCCATGGCATAATGGTTGTGGGGCTCCTGGAGGTAGAGGTTATATCAGTGTACAGGCAGAAAGAAGGCAGGCGCAGAATTCAAATGAAAAACGTACTGGGTGCACTCATACCTCAGTTCACAAACGTTTCAGCTCGCAAACAGAAGTGTTGGGCAAAATTTTACTTCCACTCACACACTCTGCAACCAGCATCTTCCCCAGAATCATGGAAGGAATTAAGTCCTTGAACCGAGGTACCACTATATATAAGATTATTCATTTTATGCAGCCTTGACTGAATTTTAATTATTTTCTTGTAAATTGTCACTTTCTAGCTGTATGACTCAGGGGAAAAAATCACACTTTTAGGTTCTAGATTTTGGGTATCTCAGTTCTGAAATGAGAGCAATGTTTGAACTTTCCTGTGGTGTTTGTGGTGAGGAGTGTGCACACACTCCCTACGCAGTGTCCAGGGTGACGGTGGTCAGTGAGTGAATGTGACTCTGGGTGATCATTGTGGTAACGGGAAAGAATGGGAAAAGAGGGACATGAGGTCCCTGTGATTGGAGGCTGATGCTTTATTTTCCAGGAAGTTTCCTCACCTCCCCATGCTGTGGAGTGAGAAGTCCCCCCTGAAGGAAAGTAATTCAGAGAGCATGAATTCTCAGTCTCACAGCTCCAAGAAGATGGAGCTTCATCCAAGGGCTCAGGAGTACATGAGCTGAAAAATCTCAGACCTTCTATCAGCAGCCGCAGTCTAGGAATTTTGGCATCTGACTCGATCTTTATTGTCCTAACTATAAATCCAGTTTGTGTGTACTGGACATCGTTGAATGAATAACTCCTTTGTCATTCCTGCATTTGTGAGTTCTCTGATGACTATGCTGGTGTTCTTAGAAATCGGTTCTCTTTCTGCTTTCCCTGCTACTCCATTACCTTATGAACTTTAGGGGAGGAAGGAGGTATAATCCCTGTTTAATGTAGACTCCATGAAACTCAACTTCCAACCATTTTGTGGGAGGAGAGGTGAATCAGATGTCTTCCAGCACAGAGAAAATGCTTCTTCACTTCTGCTGAAATCAGCATTCCAAAAAATGTCAAAAAGTCATCACTGAGACAGTTTCCCTCTGTTTGAAGTGGAAAGTGCGAGCCCCAGTGATTTTTATTTCCATCAGCCTGTGGGATGCTCATGTTCCCCAACCCACAGATGGTGGCTTAGTTAAGTTTGTGATTTTGAGAGCAAGGCCACCCTTTGTCCTCCTCCAAAGGTTCATAAAAAATGTAAAAGAGAGAAGAAGTAACAGTGGCTTTAGTATCTGATAGAATGAATAATATTCTTATGGAATATAATTGAATAATATTCCATTATAACCCAATAGAAGGAAAGAAGTAGAGTTAGATAATAAAAACTGAGAGCACAGGTGCTAATAGAGATCCCCTTTCGGTGTTCAGGATGCACCAACCATCCTCACTGGGGTGACTGACATTGGCTGTGGTGAAAGCATTTACACACACTGGTTAGCAGAAGCCACACATCACATTTCTGCCACTCACCTTCTGATCCTGGAGAGCTGGTGGTCACTAACACTCCCCTGGGTAAACAGGGATGGACCACGTGTATATTTGAAATTGAGAAAGAGTGTTGTGGTTGCAACGTGGGGTGAAATGGAAGGAGTAAGCAGAGGGAAGCTTGGAGTCTGATGCAGTGAACCATGCAAAGGGTGGATGTGTACAGCTTTCGCGAGAAGAGAGGGGATCTATGTTAACACCTGTGCTCTCAGTTCTTATTATCTAATTCTAATTCTTTTCTTCTATTGGATAATAATTGGACATATTATTGTTCATTTGCATTTTTCCAAAAGGCATCTGCTAACAGACTTTGATTAACACACATTAACAGCCTGTAGGGTACATTGATTGCCTCACCTGCGTTCAATCTAGCCTAGAGATTTTGGTGGATTTAACCTGAAAGGGATACACCTGAAGGCCTGAGCCCATCATAGGTTAGGATACCTCAGGCCTACACTCTGCCTGTGATGCTGAGTGCTTCATAATTCTCATCCCATTAAGCATATATTCCTGGTCCCAAGTGAACAAATACATGATACATGCTTTCTGTTGTCCTTGTGAAAAGTGTCATCATGGATGGTAGATGGGGTATATGAGGAGATAGATGAGGAGATAAGAACCAGCACGAACTGGACCTTTCTTTGGTAGTTAAGTTGCTCATAGCCTGCAACAGCAGATAAACTCCAACTATAAGGAGAGTCTAAGGGGATCTGAAGTGACAGGACAGTCTACATCTTGCTCTTTACATTTCTGAACTCACATAAGTGAACAGACAAAGTGTTTTCCTTCAAGTGTGCACACAACCCTATGTCTTTCAGTACCTGTGTGACTGCTAATCCCGATGTGTCACTTTCATGAGATTAAGGAATACTGGACAGATCAGTGAAACCCACTCTAGGTAACTCTGGGTGGGTCATGGAGATGTGACCTTGTCTGGTCCCTTGTCCTCTTGCTGATCCTCTTCCCCTGCTGTGCTTCTGGGCACCTGAATGAACCCTTCTGCCTTGGAGCCTGCTGCCCATGAATTGAACCTCCTGAAACTGTGAGCCGGTTCAAAACTTTCCTCCTGTAAACTCAAGTGCAGGTTGTGTCTCACTGATGACAAAGCTGACTCGACAGCCAGTAAACCTATCATCTTTTTTCATCAACACCTTTGTTTAGCTTTCATTTTGTGATGTTAGTTCCCATGGGATAATGGAAAATGACGTCACTCTCAGGCTCTCTCAGTCTCTTAATCTTGTTTACTTAAGCCAGACTTGGCTCTGGGATGTAGAAATGAGAGTGATAGACAGGAAAGAAGATGTGGAGTAGGGAGATAGAACACTGAAGGCAGGGAAGAGGATAAGGGACAGAGGCTGTGATTCCTTTGGGAATATCAGAAAATACCCCTTAAGAGACAATATGATTTGTGACATGCAAACTCATACGTTTTTATTCTAAGTAAATTGAGCATCCAGTTTGAGAGCACAGTTGTTCATGTGGGATCTGAAAACAAACTGCCCTGAATTTGGGGAAATAAAACTAGGATATAAATAACTGATTTAAGAACTCTGGCTGCTAAAGGGGAAGCCAGGGATGAGAAGGAGTGGCAGGCGTGTTCCAGGGCTGTGACCAAGGAGGAACGATGAGGTAGTGGAGATGCTAGCTCCGCTATCTCTTCCGTCCAGGCAGAAGCATGGTTAAAACTCATCTTGATAATTTTGCTCTAACCAAAAAATGTCATTTTGTCATCTTTTTCAATATTCACTGGTGGGAAAGATGAACTAATGTGGCTGTAAGTGAGAACAAACAGCCCAGAAAGGTCCCGAGATGGAGATTCTGGGGAAAACTTCTATGAAAAAGAAACACTCGGGAGGTCATCAGTGCCTCTCTGTGTCCACTTTGCGTTTTTCAGGCTCTGGTAAAAATTCTCAGGAAATGGCATCCTATCCAATCAGCAAATGCCATCCTCAGCTTGTTTCTGTGCACATCTTGAATCTGACTTCTGAGTTTTTGTTGCCCATAATGAACTACTACATGCTCCTAGGAAACACCACAAAGAACCGTTACTTTGGACCTTTCCCAGCAGATGTGGGTAATTTCACCAAAATTCCTGAGAATATCATTTTAAGTCTGGGCTCAAATATGACCTTCACTGGGGATTCTTGTCCTGAACTCTACGTGTCCCTTGTCAGAAAGGACCGTTACACCTCTATGTTCTGACAGCCTCCACTCTCTGACCTGTGGGGTAATATACCATTTACTTGTGATCTACTCTGCTGGGTTGTGGGCTAGAGGCCCTCATGTACACTTGCTCAGTGATAAGCACAGTACCTGGCATGGCTATGAACTCCCTGCTGGATGGGTCTATAAGTAAATAACATTTATGTCTTAATTCAAATGGTGTATCGGTTAGGTTCCCTAATTCCTGAAGACACAGTGGTAGGATGGCACATGGCTTGGTAAAATGTTTTGTAAATGATATGTCAGTATGTTGTTGGTTTTCCTTGAGAAATTTTATTACATCTCAGAAAACACCTTGAAACAGTATAACTTATACCATGCAAATCCATATGTAAAGTAAATTGAACATTCATTTTGAGAAAACAATTGTTCATGTGGGATCTGACAGCCAGCTGCACTTGTATTTCGGGAAATGAAACCAGGACATAACTAACTGATGGAAGAAACTTTGCTTGTCAAGGGCTGTGCCCAAGGAGGAACGACGGTGGGGGATGGATTAGGGTATGGTGCAGTGAGCAGGATACCGTGTGATCAGGTGATTAGGGTACACTGCACAGTGTCTACCAGTCTGTTCAGGAGTCCTTCACGGTTATGTTTACAATGAAACTGAAATGTAATCAATACAAACCTTCAGGGAATCCCCCTTACTCATTTTCCTCCGGTGAAACTAGAATGAGGAAATGTGTTTAAATGAGCTAATCAAGGCATATTGCTCAGTCTCATGCTATTTAGATTTGCTCGAGGGATTTTAATCAAGTTCCTGGACCTCAGTGTGTCCATAGCCCTGTTCTTACCCGCTTAGAGATCTAAGGAGCAGAGGACGAGGCTAATATTTCAGCTGATGATGGAGAGCTCAGTGTGAAGGCTTCTTCGCTTCTGCTCTCTCCCAAGCGTGGCTCCTGGCAGTCAGAACTCTGCCTGTCCCGTGTGCAAGACCGTCTGCCACGGACAGTCATGCAAAGGGCGTGCAAACGACAGAAGAGAAAGACGACAGTGAGGGCAGAGACAGATCTAGAGATTCAGAGATTAACACAGGCGCACAAATTGTGTCTCAGCCCTGAGCCTGTGCATCAAGTCGAGGGAGCCTTCAACAAAGAGGACAGGCTTTTCAAAAGGGGAACCAGAGCACGTCCGACCCAGAAACGGCAGAGCTGGGACACAAGTAGAGAAATCACGGCACGAGAGGCACACCCCTTTGTCTTCCGCAGTTCTCTTTTACCTCTTTAACTCCTCTTGAAATGTTTCCTTCTTAGGAAACACAAGTGCAGCCTTTGCTGCTGGTCTCAGACAGCATTACACTCCAGGAGTCTCCACTTTCCTCATTCTGTACTGTCTCTATTCAGGAGACTTCTCAGGTATGTAAATTCACCCTAGGAAGAAGAACTCGATCGCTCATTTTGGGGAGGGAGACTTATCAGACAAATGGTGCACGCAGGAAGATAATCATCTGTGTCATGAGCCCAGCCATTTCAACTGCCTACCGAGAACACGCTGGGAGAGGAAGTCCACCGGCTCTCAACAAAACAGCACTCTTCATTCCGGACAGCTTTCTTCATGGCCATGGACACGCAGGATAGGAGCAGAGCCGATCTTGCACTCCCAAATCCACAAGAGCAAGCTGGGTAAGCACAGGCTGCTATTTACTTTTCTCCATCATTTTTCAGGCCAGAGGAAGTCACAGGGCTGGAACGACAGGTGCCAATTCATGGATTTGTGCATGGACTCACCCAGTTTAATTCATGCATCGGCTAAAATGCTGTGCTTTCCAAGAGATTTTTTCTCACTGGTGGGGAGAAGGATTTTCACTCTGCTTGTAAACTGGTAGTAATGGGTTTTCTAACACTAGGGGCTCATATTTTGGGTGTGAAGTCGGAGTCTGTGTTACCCATATAGCATGTCCCTCTGTGTCTGACATATCCCAGAGAACAGGAACCTTACAGAAGGACTTCCTTCCCGACTGAGCTTTGTGAGGCTCAAGCGGTGCAACCTTGCTCTTGAAGATGAAAATAGAAATACAGACCCATCTGTAACCTCAAAGCCAGTCCTTCAGTGTCTTTGATACATAGGACTTTGTGTGTGTCCTTGATGAAATATTGTCTGATACGTTTCTATATGAGAAAGACTATGAAATGCACAAGTAAACATATCTGATCATCTTCAGTTCTATTTGCCAGTGGGGATTAATTGGAAAACACTTGACAGTAACCTTGTATAAAAATAAGACTACTCAGCACGATTTTTGAAGTGTTCTGTTCCATCAAATCACTTAGTGTTCACATATTATTCATCCACTGCAATCCTTTGAGCCTTGGTGTTTCAGGCAGTACAGTGGGGATTTCACCTATAGGACTGTGTTGAAAAACAAACAAACAAACAAACAAACAAACAATGCAACCTCCTTTCTGTCAGGCAGAATCTTTCATGGCAAGTTACAGTGTTTCCTTTGGGCTAAGTTTCTGTTACATTTCACAGTGTACCTGAAATCGAACTCCTGGAGGTATCTCCTCAAGAGAATGCTCCACCGGAGAAGTCAGCCTCAGCCCCAGCACGGCAGACATGGTCCTCGCTTTTGAAGAAAGAGCTGGAATTCCTGGGGGTGAGTGCATCTCTTCCAGCCTCAGTAGTGTGAGGGTTGCCTCTAGGAAAAAGTGTTTGATTATAGCAATGGTTTTCTCCCAGAGGTTTGTGAGAAATGAAACCTCCATACTCTGGGCAGTTGAGGAGTTGATCCTAGTTGGGTCATGTTGAGAAAGGGGGAGGAATTTTCTCATGAACACTGGAAATTGTTGCATCAGGAATGGCAAATAAGAGCGACAGATTCTTAGTCTTTAAGATGGGAAGAATAATTACTGATGTACCAGGACTACATAAATAAAGGAATCTGGCACATATATTGGCCATGCATGCAATAAGTCATGCTTGTAGTCAGTCCTTACAGCAGCCAGGGAATTACTGTATCCAGAGCACTTCCTGGGAGAGCCTAAGACACTAAAAGAATATTTAGTCTCAGTAATAAGGAAATCAATCCATCTGGGCAAAATAGCTTCTAACTTCATAAAAATGTGTTTTTCTGTAGGTCACACAAATTTTGATTGGTTTGTTATGCCTTTGTTTTGGAATAATTGTCTACTCTATACTTGATATTTCCAAATTTGATGAAGGAGGATTTTCATCATTCAAGGCAGGCTACCCGTTCTGGGGGGCAGTACTTGTGAGTATATAATTGTTTTTGAAATAACATGGAGCATAGATTTTATTTTACTTGGGCTTAACCAATCATTTATCTCTAGTATTAAGACAACAGAATTATTTACATATATGCATGATATATATGTTTTCATTTTATAAAACACATTTTCACATAGGTGGTCATTAATAACAACAAAAAAGGCCTCTTATAGTCAACTATGGGTTACACATTTAACATACTTTTATTAGATGAGAAACTGCAGACAAATAGATGGTTTTCCTAAGGGACGCTTAGCTAACAGAAGTGGAGCACAAACTTCCAGAAGCCAGTTCTAGGAAAGTACCCCTCACTACTCATGAATAACTATAACATTGCTATGTGAGCAATTCATATAGTTTTGTCGGTCAATTTAAAAAAATTTTAAAAAGTTATGTTTATGAAAAGTTGGGGAAGAAATTGCTAAGGGGAGGAGGAGAAGAACGTTTGCTATGTCCTAGGGCTCTCTCTTATTACTCGGTCTGTGCAGCACACGAAGCTCTCGTTCCTCGTGGGGAGTAGCTACACGTGCGTAACACATCTTAATTCCTTGTTTCATCCCTCTACCCCTTCCTCCCCCCGTCAGTCCCCTTCCCATTTAAGAAAGATTTATCTTCCCTACTTCCTGTCATCTGTTTTTATTTCGCTCTTTGTAGCTTGGGTTTCTCATATTAAAGAAACCATGGAATTTTTAAGCTTGTGTGCTTGATGTTTTTTCTCAGTTAACATTATGGTCTCAAACTGCATCCATTTTCCTACAAATAACTCAAGTTTACCCTTCTTGACAGCAGAGTAGTACTCCACCATGTAAATACCACATTTTCTTTATCCATTCATTTGTTGATGAACATACAGGTGCCTTCCAAGATTTAGCTGTCATGAGTTGTGTTGCTATAAACATGAGAACACTCTTGAGTTGTTCTCATTGGAGTCCCTTTAATCATTTCGCTCTCTGGAAACTCAGTGGCCAGCCGAGATGACAAGGGTGCACGTATAGCTTTATTGAGGAATAGCTGACATTCAATACGTTGAAAATGTGGAAGGTGAATAATTTGATGGTTTTTTGCCTCGTATGTGCCTACATATACAAATATCAACACATCAATATAATGAGCTTATCTTTCATTCCAAAAATTTCTTGTGCTTCTTTTGAACTCCTCCCTGCTTCACTGTGACCCCCACCCTCAATCAATCTCTGGTTTCCTTCCTGTGGCTGTAGCTGAATTTGCATTTTCTAGGGCTTTGTAGAAATGGAATTGTATAGCATGTTCTTTCTCCTTACTGTCTCCTTTCACGCCATATAATTATCATGCAATCATCTACGTTGTTTTTTGTATCAGTATTTTGTCCTAAGGATACATTTTAATTCTGTATCACATCAGTATCTCACGCTGCTAAATACTCAGTATTCAGATCACTCACTGAAGCCTCTTCTTGAACCTCTGTCAGGTTTTCTTTGAAATCTCTCTCCACTGCCCTTTTAATTCCCAATATTTAGCATGATGTGTCTTTCAACCCATATACAAGCTGGATATTACAGAGATTGCTTTGGATTTGTGCTATTGATTCATATTTCCCCAAGTCTTTCCTTGTGTACATTTTTGTAATCAGTATATGATTATAGGATATATGTCTGGAGACAAAGGTACATAGTTCTTGCCTGGCGGAGTTGACAGTGTAACACAAGATGCACATACGAACAAATAATGACAATAAGATGAGCATAATATTTAAACAAAGTTGTGCATCAGACATTACCAGCCCCTCACCCATGGGCTCTCAAAGTCAGCCTCACTCGGAACCAGGAAAATGTGAAGAATTTTGGGCTCCAGAGAATTCAGCAGAGACTGAATTCGTTCTTTCCCTTCTCTTTGGACAGTTCGTTGTCTCTGGAGTTCTGTCAGTTCTATCTGAGAGGGGAAAGGCGATGTATCTGGTGAGTCACATCCTGTCTGTTTGTCCTCAGGGTGGTAAAAGAATGGAGCTTTAGGAACTTGAGGGAGATGTGTCCACATCCTGGATATGATAGTGTGGACATGCACGTGTTTCAAATGTATGTTGTGTTGGAAGCTGTTTTAGGCAACCATACTTGGATAGAATCGATAGAAACACACATCGCATCATTTAATATACACAGTGAAGTTTAACTACTTTGAAACCAGTATTTAAAAATTTTCTCTGGCATAAGTTTGCGTATATGATGACATCATTCATCATGGGGAGTTGGTACCCACGCACGACATGTCTGAATTCTTTCCTTTCTTCCTCCCTTCCCTGCCCAGTTCCACCTCTACATCTCCCTCCCATTCGCCAAGGCCTGTCTCCCTGCTTCCTAGTCTTTATTTTTTCTCATCGAAGAGGAACATGCTATGTTTACACTCGTGTTAACACTAGTTCTAGAATGTTCCCACACAGGCAGTGCGGTTGTACCGAAGCAGTCACATGATCAGATAGCTTCCAGTAAAGGAGACTATTTAAGAGTAGCCCTGCGTGTGCCCGTTGTTTTATTTGTTTGTTTGTCTGTTGCCGGGGTACAAGCTAAGCACAAGCTCTGCCACTGAGCTCCCTCCCCGGCCCCGGTGTTGTCCTCACTGAATGCAGAGCAGACTCCGGGATGTGCCCGCAGGCGCAGCCCAGGCAGGTGCTCTTGTCTCACCAGGCGAGGGGCAGGCTGGGGGTGAACACCCTCAGCAGCGTAGGTGCGGCCGTTGGCATCATCATCCTGGCCCTCAACCTCAGCTACAGCTCAACTTACGTCAGGAATTGTGACAGACTCGACGAGGCTGACGACTGCCTTGTGGCTTCATTTATTATCGTATGTATTTCTCGTGGAAAGGCTAAAGCTTTGGGTCCCTCTTTTTCTTTTCTGTGAGCACAGTTCCATCTTTTGGGACCTCTGTCTCACAGTGTAACATTCTGTCGGTCCATGCTGTCTATTTAGGGGGACACCGACTGCTCCCTCTCCTGTTACTGGACAGATTCCTCCACCTGATGGTCTCAGAAACCATGGACTGGTTTCCCCACGTCACTTTGTCCGTGTCACTTCATAACCACTGATCCGGTGTGGGTCAGGGTGATGAAAGCAGGAACTGGTGTGAAGGAAGGAACTTTGGGGACACCTGTCACATGACTGTCTTCCTGACTCTCGCTGGTTTTTGTCCAACAGGAAATTGTGGCCATGATGCTGTTTCTCACCATCCTGGGATTTTGTGCGGCAGTGTCGCTCACGATCTATGGGATCGGCGAAGAATGCAAGGGGAAGAAGGTGAGCAGGGGCCCGGCGTGCGGCGCTGGACAGCAGCCAGACAACTTGAGCTCCATCTGTTACAAGTGTGGTCTGGGTTTCCTGGGGATTATTTTTTTCCTAGAAAACATTTTTCTCTGTTTCCTGAGTTTGGCTTTCATAATTTATGCTCAGAAGTAGCAAAAATCTTAGAGCACACCCTCTTGAGGGTCAGGAAAAAGAGTCTTTATACCTTTAGAATTTGTGGATGCCTTAGAGCGTGCTAAGCTCTGGCCTTAGTTTTTGCTCAAGGGGAGCTTCTTATGATTGTTCCTATCTCTCTTCTTTTTCTTGTCTTTCCTTTCTGTTGCTCCAAATCTTCAAGTTTTCATTACTTTGTAATTTATGAGTAAAACTGAATTTCTACTCACTTCACCCACCCATTGTATCTTTGCTGAGAATCATCAGGGCATGCAGGACACACACTCCAACCTAACAGATGAAGCACATGGCCTCTGTCCACTTTCCTGACACATTTCATGTCCACCCTGTTGACCACTTTTCTCCAGAGATGAATAAGACAGCAGATGCACCAAAGTTCAGGCACAGAATAATCTCACCGCCCTGTTGTCACCTGGCCTGGTTTCTTTTGGATCTAGTTGACCAGTCCATCTGGCTTGGTTTTCTGAAAATGGAAGGGATAATTCAAGTGTGGGGGTGTCAGAACAGAAGGAAAAGGAGATGCACCTCTTGAACAAGTCTTCCAGAAATGGAAAATGCTTGGTGATTGATGCAGAGTGATCTTTTCTCTCCAGCTTCCAGATGATCGTCTTTATGAAGAATTAAACATTTATTCACCAATTTACAGTGAGTTGGAAGACAAAGGGGAAACACCTCAAGTGGATTCATAAGGACTGTGTGCCCAGGACACTCTGAGTCAAAGAAAAGGGTCTAAAAGCCAAAATCCGCTTATGACGCTACTGGGACAATGTCCGTTCTCTATGCAATCTATCAACTTTGCATTAGATTTCTCCTCTGCATATCAATATTTTGTTTGCTTTTTTTTTTTTTTAATTATTTTTGTTAGTCCATGTTTGTGGTACACAATGACCGCATTTCTCCTGGGGAGCTGGTGTGTGGACAGTGCACACCTTCACTCGTGTTTTGTCCTCTCCTTCACCCTTCCCTGCTTCACTGCTTCTGATCACCCGTGTGTCCCGTTTCCTCATTTGTAGATGTGACACATCCCTTTCTCTTGTTTTCTGTTCTGATCTCACACACAGCCCTCTGGGAAGTCAACACGGAGTCAACGAGTTTTCCCGCATGTCTGTAACTGTGTGAGTAGGGAAGACAAGGAGGCTGAGGGCTGAGCTGAACTCTTACTGTTTGATAAATCCTGCTTCTCAGTTGTTTTCAGAGTTCCCAGAGCTGCGGTGGGTATGATACCTACACCCTGCACATGCACCCACACTCCACATATATGTAACTTACAGGATGCATGTTTTTCTATGTGCAAACACATACATCTCCCAATAACAATATATTTTTGGTGGAGACACAAAGTTTTATAAAAATCTTTAGATTGCCCAACCTAAAGGGCTTTCACTGATGCAGTATTTTTCAATAGCATTTTCAGGTTGGTAAATAGATGATGGGGGTTTTATGAAGCTACTCAGTATCTAATGAAATGAAAAGGTGAAAGCAGAGAAACTGTAAATGCAGAGTTCATTTAATGAGATGTTATTTAGACCTAAAAGATAAATTAATGACAACTCTAGAGGCAATGAATTCCATGGGAATGCAGAGAAATGACCATATCTAAAAGGTGCATAAAATTATTAACAGGTTAAAATTACAGAACAAAGTTAGACAGCTAAGTTTTTGACTAATACAAAGTGTTTGAGTCTAAGGTCCAAGGAGATCCATCAGTAGTGTTGGAGAAATGGTGGACATTCAGAGACATGAGTAATGGAAGAGTTCAGCTAGAACTAGATAAGCTCAGGTTTAGATGTTCATTATGAGAAGAGGAAATGAAGTTGGCGCTCAGCACAGAGTTCCAGTCCTGACACCTCTTGATGGCAGAGGCTCCCAGTCATGATAAGGGACATCGCTATTACATGGGACCAGGCAGTGGGAGTGGGTGGAAGAGCATAAGTGAAGTAAAAAGGGTCAAAGATGATGTGTATCTGAACCAGCTCCCCACGATGACTATATTTAATATATCTAATAAACACACACTGGTAGAAATTTTAAAATTTAGGGAAGCAAGTTAACACTCGGAGAGAATTCTTTTGAGAGAGAAGTAAAGCCAGGTTAAGCTTCACATGCCTACAATCAGAGGGAAAAAATAAAGGTAAGATCTAGAAGACACAAGAATTAGTCAGAAAAGTACACTGCAAGACAGTGGAGAGCAGGAAGCCCAATGTGGAGAAAAGCTGAGTGAAAAGAAAACAACACTGAGAGGTGTGAAAGTGGGTGCAGGTAGGACAGAGTCCTCTCTGTAGACAGTGGGAAAACAGCAAGAGGGATGAACACAAACAAGGCCAAGGTGGACTTCACTGGCTCTTGTCACGGGTAGATGAACAAAACATTCTCAAAGAGCGTTTGAGAGAGAGAGAGGTGGGGGTGATTGTGGGCAGAAAGATAGAGGATTGTGTGTAGAAGGTGATAAGGAAAAGTTAAGCCAAGAGAAATGATTTTGTGGCAGTTGTTTTTATATTTAAGACAAGAACTACTGTTCATGTCTTTAGCTTAAGTAGAAAAGTGCTGTGGAAGCTGAGACATTTTGGGGACATCAGTCACCTCGCTGTCATTTTCACCTTCCCCTGGCATACACAGAACACCACTGGCATGCTTTTCACAATTTTTTTTTCTTTTTTGTTACCAGAAACTGAACCCAGGGCCTTTATTCTGAGCTACAACCTCAGCCCTCTGTATTCTTCATTTTGAGGTGGGGGGTCTCACTAAGCTGCTAAGTTACCCAGGCTAGGCTTGAACTTGTGATCTTCTGCCTTAGCCTCCTGCAGTGCTGAAAGCTTTCAGACTTTTGTTGTCCCAAATTATCTTTCTAACTTTCAACTTAAAGGTCATCTTCTTCACAAAGCCACTGAATAGGCCATCTATTTATCCAACCTTCATTTCTTGCTGTCTAGCCGCTCCAGCCCATAAAGAAGTGTGATTGTCAGAGTGCGTGTGATCTCCTTGTATGTCCTCAACTACTAATATTTGTACAATAAATCGGACATTTGCAACTTTTCTTGTTTGTGTTTGTATTTGCATATGATATTGAGAGACTGACCAAGGATAATAGAGGATCAAGAATCAATTAAATGATGCCAAGCACTATGATGTTTCCTCAGTCCTCTTTATGAACACCTTCTCAAGAGCACAACCTATAACCAACTTGAGACAGAAAACAGATTGTGGAGACAATCACCAGCCATCCCTTTCTAATAAATCAGTGGTGCTAAAGTTGAAAGGAAACTTGGCTATAAGGTACTTCTAATATTTAGTCCTAACCCTAATGTATTTGCTCTGCTATTTAAAGTTGAGAAAGAAAGGTCTCTTTGTAGACCTACATTCATAAGGGCTTTCCAGACAGACAGGATGAATAAGGGGAGATAGACAGATAGAGAGACAGATAGACGACAAAGATATATTAGAAGGGGTCAGTTAAGGGAATTTATAAGAAAACAATAAGAGAAGAAAGGAATCCTACACTACTGTTGAGAATGTAAACTAGTACAACCACTATGGAAATCAGTGTGGAGCTTCCTCAATAAACTAAAAGTAGAAGTTCCATTTGGCCTGGCGATTTCCCTTCTGGACATCTTCCCAAAAGAGTTTAAATCATCTAATTAAGGAGGTGGCTGTGAATGCTATGGACGCTGAGCAGTCCCACGACAGTTTGCAGAGCAAGAGAGAAGTAATACGAGCAGGGAGAAAGCTCTGGAGATTTACACCGGGCAGTCTAAGTACTTGGCAGAGCGCTGTGGAGTGCACGGATGAGGAGAAAGGAGGAGCCACCTCCACGGATTTGACACAACAACACTCAGCTTCAGAGAGGGCCAAGAATATAGACTATTGTGTGGGTTTGGGGCTTATTTTGCAAGGGGAACAACATAATACAGGACACATACTTCATATGATTATTTATAATAGTCACCCAAAGAACAGTACATAAAAGAGTGCAGGAAATCTGTCCACACACTAAGACCAAGGAATCCAGCTGAGGGCCTAGATCCCACAACAATGTCCTACATGAGTCGAGCTGAATACCCGGAGCTCATAACAATGCCTCCCATGAATCCAACTGGAGGCCCAGAGCCCATGACAACATCTCATGCAGACCTGTTTCACGTATCTGCTTGGAAGGCCCGAAGGTCAGTGGTGGAGTCTACAAAGTCTGTGCCAGCAGGATGAAGGACCTATACTAGCAGGGATCTGCACTGGAGCCAAGAAGTGATGCTTGGAAGAACCAGAGTTCCCCCAAAAGGTACCACAGCCTTCCTTGGCAACAGTGAGGTCCCGAGCTCCTCTGATGATCAGGATGGCCGGGTTCCCATCAGGAAGGCCAACGCAGCAAGCTTTTCCAGGAGGCCGGCAGTGCACCATCTTCCTCTCCAGAACCAGGAAGCGGTGCTCAAGTGAGGACCAGAGCTCCCCAAAGTGAACTGAAGCCATTCTCAGTGCCAGCGAGGTCCCCAGCTCCTCGGAGGATGAAAACAGCCAAGTTCATCAGGAAAGCTAGCTCCCCACAGCTTCTACCAGCTCCCAACAGCCTCCTCCTTCTTCTCCAGGTCTGCCTTTATGCTGTTGGCAACAGTCCTCAGGTGGGCCTCCCACACCCAGCACCATGCTTACTCGGTTCAGCTGGGGGTTATAAGTTGACCACCAGTTATCAATCCACTACAACTATCATCACAGGCGAACTGGAAAAGCCCAGTGTTCACAGGGCACTGGGGAGAATGTTCAGAAAGTCCTGCCATGTGTGTCAGTTTCCTAGGGCAGCAGTAATGAGCTACCCAAAAAGAGGTGTCTTAAGAACAGAAATGTATGTTTGCACAGTTCTAGGTACTAGAACTGCAACACCAATGTGTGAGGGAGGTCGGTCCTTCCTGAGGGACAGTGTCTTCCATACCCTCTATGACTCCTGGTGGCACCATGTGTATTGCTCTTGGCAGTAATCTGTCTCAGTCTTCCTATGGCCCCTTCATCCCTGTGCATGTCTACCTCAAATTTCTCCTTTTGGAAGAGCACCAGTACTGGGTTAGGGGCTACTCATCTTAACTTGGTTAACTCTGCAGAGATTGCAAGCTGTGGACCCCTGGGTGACAGTAGTGTCTGAGCTCCAAAGCCCTAGAACCAAGGAAGCTGATGGCGTGATTTTCTCTAAGCCTAGGGGCCTGTGGGTCACTGGTGTAAGTCCGTGGGCCCCTCAGCCTTTGAATCCCTTCCTCTGTGTTAACCCGAGGGAGATGAGGCATCCCCAATTTGCTAATGGTGGGCCTTGTTTCATCCAATGCCCCAAACTCTCAGCGCTTTTCCTGACTCCCGGCACTGCAGCGTTAAGTGCAGAATCTCTGCCAGGGAGGCCACATCAATGTATTCGGCCTGATTCAACTTTATATCCCTTTCACCACTATCCTACACCCTTAGAATAAATGTCCACATGCCCCCCAGAATTCTGCTTGTATAAGTGATACATTAGCGCACTCAGGCGGTTACTTCCCTTTCTCTAGATGACAGTAGGCTGCGACTGGTATTAAATGCCTCTTTTGCAGGTGAAAGGATTGGTTCACTATTTTTTTTTTTTAACAAAGAGAATCCTATTATTTCCTTTTGCTGCCACATAGGCTCTTTAATCTGACGAGCACGTCTGTTAAACACTCAGATTTACCTCTAAAATGAAATGAACAGCTCATTAATTTCTCAGGCAATCGTTGCGTGTTCACATGTGCCAGCCTTCTGTGTATTCTCCACGGGTTTCTAAATGTCACACATAAGACACTGAGAGTCTCAAAGGCATCAAATTGAGTAAATTCAGGGCAGACTTCAGTGTGCAGAAAAAGTTGCTTGGAGTTCCAAACTCTGAGTACTGTAACCCTCCCGAGGTCCTTGTGGAAGAAATAGACCACTGATGGTGGCATGACAGACACAAGAAGCCTTGGCCAACAGGTCGAGGGTGACACTTACTGGGCAGAAATGGCCAAGCCGGAATACTTCCACCTTTCTCAGTCCATGGATGTGGTTTCTTTGGGGTTTTGACAAGTTGAAGCAGCTCTCTACCCCTCCCTGCTGGGCAGCAAGATTTCTTGTGGGGGTCAGCTCCCCACTGAAGCTCTCTGCGAGACAAAGGTAGACAATGGGAGAGGATACCCATGGGCTCAGGCACAGAGGAAAGATGTGGCCCTGGGGACAGTGCAGTCTTCATTTTCCATTTGTTCATCTTCTCTGCTGTTACAGTTTCCAAAATATTGACCCTGATCCTGAACTCAGTTTTGAATTCTAAATTTGAGAGAGGAGTAGATTCTTGTGACATTTTCCTTTGGAAATTTGGCATAGTTTTTCTCTTTTCCAGTGGGTGAACACGACAATGAACAGCATGGTTTTTAAAGTTCTCAGTTGCTCTTTTGCTGTGATTGCATGTGAGGGGACATTAGTAGGACCATGGAAACAAGCACACTGCTGTTGTGTCTCTGCGTTGCTAGAATGTCTCTGGTAAATCCTGGAACTGCCTGCTCCTACCACGTCAGCAAACTTCACCTCGGTGTGAGAAAGGTGGGTCACGGTGCATGGAGCACAGAAACGAGAAATGCCAGGGATTTCCACCAGCTCTCCTGAAGGGTTTGCGTCCTGACATCGCCCGCGCCTGCTTCTGGTGATGAGAAAGCAGTCATTCAAACCATTTGTTAAAAGCATTTTTAAAAATTGGATTTTGGAACTCATTGCACATTCTTATTATTTGGGAGATTTATTAAACTCAAATGAAAGATGGTAGGATCCTAGAATAGGTTCGTCCTTTGTGGTATTTGAAGAAGCACTGACAAAACATTAACAAGGTTTCTGGTTTAAAAGCTAAGATCAAATAGGTTAAAGACCCCCTTTCTGCTTGTGATTGCTACACTGCAGAGAATTAGGTGAAGACTAATATGCCAAACTGGAAACAAAATTAGTCACTCCGTGTCACAGTAAGTACAGGAGAAGGAAGCAGACGAGCAGGTTCCTCTTGTGTGCCGTGTGCTTGCAGCTTCTTCTGTAAAATGAGTATGATGGAGACTGTCTCCTAAAGGCACTGTGGGAAATCCCTGAGTTAATAAAATACTAAGGAGGGTACCTGGAGAGAAAAGACATTCAGTAGATATTTTACATACATATTTCAGCTCCTGTGTCACTTCCTGCTTCCTGACTATCATAGGATCATCATCATCATCATCATCTTCACCATCATCACCACCATCTTTATAGCTGTTATTGACACCAACAGCTCCTGTCACGTGAGGGAGTCAGGGACGTCTGAGTGAATTCCTGCGATGTACCTCACTATCTAAAGTAACACTGAAAATATTTTAAAATGATTTTGTTATTTCAGTACATTATATTTTGTTTATTTGAGGTTTACAACATGGTACTATGGAATATATATGCTCATAGAGTTACTACAGTGAAATAGATTAATCTGTCATGTCATATATTGTGGGATCTCACAGGTAAAATATTGAAACACTTAGATATACAGAGAGAAGCTGGTTACTGTGGGTGGGGTGAGGTGATAGGCAGAGGAGGTGGGGAGACGGAGGTTCCGAGATACAAAATAAATATATGGGATCAATACGTTTACTGACCTGACACTGAACATGAGGGTTAAAGATGTTAGAATTGCATTGCTTGAGGTATTTTTGTCAAATACTTGGATTTCACCTCTTCTGGTCATATAAAAGAAGTACCTATGCATAAAACATTTTAAGACAGCTTTCTTTCATTGATCAGATGTATAAAATACAATCAGAAGCCTTACTGGAAAAGTGCTCAGGTCTTTCTATACTGCACTACTATGGCCCCCAAGGTATGCTTTTGGAACACAGTTATAGATCCAAGAATTATGAATAAAAATATCTTTTCACTTGAGAATTGTCCTTGCTATTTTATGAGATACTTTAAGCCTTGTTGGTGATAGGATCAGAAATGAAGCATCTTTATCAAGTCCTGATGTTGTGACCACAAGGTCACTTTTGAGACAGATCTGGGCAGCTGAAT